AAAGAACTGTGCTTGCTGCAAGCGAGGAGGATGTGAAGCACTAGCTGGCAAAATTCAAAGACTGGAGCCTTCCGTATGGATGGCGGTTCAATGGAAAGAACACAAAAATCCTCCCAGGTGGACCAGTAAACATCAAGACAAATGGAGAAAGGACTGGAGTTGTCAAGGATTCCATTTTCCTAGGACCCATCATCAGTGCTCGCGGAAGCAGCAGTCAAGAAAGCAAACAACAGATTGCACTGCACAAATCTGTTGCACAGAACCTCGTTCAAGTGCAAACGAGGAAAAATGCCCCTTTGAGGTCCTCCTGGTCTTTTCCACAGCCTCAGATGCACGTGAAAACTAGACCGCGAATAAGGAAGACCGAAGAATGGCTGTATTTGAATGGTGGCGTTGGCCAAACATATTGAAAATACCAGGAAATGTCGGAAGAACAAACACCTGTCTTGAAAAAAGTACAGTCAGCATGCTCCTTCGTCTGGAGGACTTCATCACTCACACTTCACTCCGCCCCTGGAAAAGGGCATCATGCTACTTACTCTCTGCCCCTTGCTGGCCGCCCTTCCATGCTGAGCCCATGGGACGGGCCCGCTGGTCCAAGGTCACGTGCAGGCACAGAGCTGGCACCATGGGCGGGAGTGGGGGTGGGGGGGGAGGCGCAGAGGAAGGAAGCCCATACCACCTGTCCAATTAACTGACCTCCCGCCATGATTCTGAAAAAGGTACTTAATGTACTTGACGTCCGTGCCAAGAGAAGTGAACATTTAACGAAATTTAAACGCAACCTTTAGAAAGATCTCTTCCGTTTGTGATTTCACTCTTCATAGCTTAGTTTAGGGCCGTTTAAGTGGGATGGAGACACTACCGGGGTGCGGCGAGGTCGCGCCCGCCCGCTGGCTCCGGCGCTCCCCCTCCTGGGCCGCGCCGGTACTGCTCTTCCGGGAACCTCGGGCGGAAGGGGCGGGGCGGGAATCGACTGCCCTGTCGCGCTACCCCGCGCCGGGAGTGGCTTCCGTTTCGTCACTTCCGGCCCGTCCTCGCTCCGTCTCCCCGCCCCTGGGCCGGGAGGCAATTGC